TTTTTGTACTGGATTGAACTCAGGACCTTGCACTTGCTAGGCAGGTGGCTGCATCACAGAGCTAAATCCCTGGCAGTTGTTTGGGTTTTAAAAATCTTGTCTCCCAAGTCCTGTGTGAATGGAACAGGCCAAGACTGTTTATAACAACTAAGAATTTAATCATACTTGAGCAAATAATCATTTTGATGATATTGACATATTCATGGTGGTATATGCATAGAGAGACCTAGAAGACTAATGAGATAGTGATCATGGTTAGAAGGTCGTACCCTTCATGCTTCTCTTTCTATTTTCTCAAAAAATTTTAATAAAAAGCATATGCAGTTGGCTTTCTGCATCTGCAGGTTCCTTATGCACAGGTTTCCCATCCAAGGATTAGACTAACCATGACTTGAAAATGTGCTTTTAAAAAATGCTAGGGCAATTACACTGAATATGTGCAGACCTTTTCTTCTTGTTATTGTTTAAACAATACAGTATAAGAATTAAACACACAGCATTTACATTGTAATAAGTACTACAAATATCTCGAGGTGATTAAAAGGACTGCATAGAGAAGGCTGTGCAGAGGTTACATGCAAATACTACTCCACTTTATAGAAGGGACTTGAGGGTCTTCAAGTTTTGGTATCTGAAGGGACCCTGAAGCTAAAAGGAGAAATGACACCATTATTCTATAATTTCAAAAGTAAATTCCATTGAAAGCCAAATGTGTAGTACTAAGAGCTGTAGCGTGAAAGGAGTAATCAAAGCAAGTAGTCTAAGCTGAATTTCCAAGGTCAGATAAAATTAAGTGTGAGCCACTTTGCTGGTGGTTTATAGTTCCAGGTGGGGACTAAGAAGGCTCTTGTGTAGTTTATTTACTCTCTGCTCAGTATGATTGCACCTAATTTTGGAGTAACCTATAAAGATAAGAATATCTGGCATTTGCTGATATGTTTATTTCCAAACTACTTTTTTGTAGCCTATTTACAGTTCTTCCCTGGCCAAACAAAATTAAAATATTTTCTCATTTAGTCATACCCCAATTTCCCATCAACCTAAAGAAATCCATTTCAATCCTCTCCCATTTTTTGTTTTTCTCTTCTTAGAGCTCTGTGAGCTATATTTTTTGGGCCATGGGATTTTCATGCTGTTTCTAAGTGTTGTTCCTAGAAGGTGGGTATTAGCTGAGTTAGTTTGAGTTCTGACTGCTGCTTCAGTTTTGCTGAGATTGTAAGCAAAACTCTTTACCACTGTGGCCCTTTGGCTTCCTTACCTCAAGCTTCAGATTCTATTCTAAGACCTTATTGGGGGTGCTGAAGTAATTCAAAGAAACAATGACTGGAAGGCGCCTGCTTTGGAGCATTAAGCAAAATAAATCCTGTTTTTTTTTCTTTCTCTTTCTCCTCTGAAAGCAATGCAGAGCACAATGCATGGTGAAGCCTTTGGACCCAGCCATGAGACTCCCAGATGTTGCATAATCTCCCTGGGCCTCAGTTTTCCCATATGCAGAGGGGATAATTATAGTTCCCCCTGCACAGGGTTGTGAGTAGCCATCAGTAAGTCTCATGTACCTTGCTTCTTTCAAATATGTCTGATTTGTTATGCTCTTTGTTTTGTTTTAATGAGACAGGGTCTCACTATGTAGTGGAGGCTGGCCTTGAACTCACTATGTAGCCCAGGCTGGCCTCGAATTCCGTGATCTTCCTGCCTCACCTCCTGAGTGCTGGGATTACAGGCATACATCATTAAACAAACTCAGCTTGTTGTGCTCTTTGGAAAACTTCTGTTAACTCTTTCCTCCTGATGAAACTCTAATTTGCTCTGAGCTCCTATTCTGATGAGCTTGACTTGATTTCTTATGGGTCTTCAGAGTGAGCCAGAGGTGTGTTTCTTAGGTGTGTGGTGTAGTAACGTGAACACAAACCCAGGCTGAAATCACTTTTCTGTAGCTTAGGATCTTTGGGACTGTGGGGGAAATTGCTTAATCTCTCTCCTTAAGTAACTGAGAACATTTCCAAATCTATGAAATGGGCATCTTTCCAATGGCTGAAAGTAATAGGCAAGATCAAGTAATTGGTAGGTAGGAGCTCTAAACACATGAGGTTAGTCTCAGTCCCGTTTTTCCTCTTATTCTCAGCCCTGGTCTTTCAGCATAGTCTAACACAGTGGCACTCAAGCGAGGAGCACATTAGCTTCACCTGTGGAGCTTTTAAAAGCAAGGCAGTCCTGGCTCTACCCCCTAGAGAGTCTGATTTAACTAGTCTGGGAGGGTTCAGGCACTGGTTAGTTGTTGTGTTATTATGTTTTTAATGGTCTCCAGATGTTTCTAGTGAGGGCAGGGTCTAGCACTCACCAGCAACTCGACATGCTTCCCTGAACCTCATTTCCTCCTCCATGACAACTCAAGTGGTGAGAATTCCATTAATCAGTGTATATAAAAATTGCAGAACCCAGTGTCTGACTAATACTTAATAGGTTATTCCCAGGATGTGAAGGAGGAGATGTGACAAGAGAGAAATCAGCTCTCATCAATTCTACCAGAAAAAGATGATCTATAAGAGTTGTCCCAGGACCCCAGGAGTGACAGGATTTTGAACTTGAGGGTGTGTAGACTGACAGCACTGGCTCTTCCCACATCTAGCTGAGATGGAGCAATTCATGTGGCCAGGTCAGTCCAGAGCTGCTAGGAAGCCAGCTAAAGCCCAGCACCTATTTATGGCCTCTCCTCCCACTCTTATGCAGATAACCTGATTTCCAGTGACCTTGCCTCTCCCCCATTGATTTTTCCCAGTAGTTAAGCTACAAATGATCAATGAGAGAATGGCAGATAGGCATTTTACACAGCACCATTTCAAGAGCAGTCTGTTTCTCTGCCTTCAATAGCCCCTAAAAATAATAGGTCTGGAGGTAGCATGTTTCCCTTCTTCTTCCAAAGATGTTAGTAAATCATTAGACCGGATTTTTCTCCATCTCCTCCCTCTGCAGTTCTTTTTAAAAGAGTTCTCATTTGAGTTCAATCAGAATTCGAGGCAGGAAAAGCAAAATAAGTCACAAAAAGAAACTAAAGTAGCAGACTGTTTAAATATCCAAACTAAATGGAGTACAATTAAAATGAGGGCAGAGTTACTGCGTCCGAAGTAAAAATAGTACATTTTTCATAAATGTTTAATGGTGTTCATTTCATGATTGACTCAAGTTTGGGAACTTTAGTTAGTAGAGATATGCTGATTGATTGATAGCACATCAGCAGGACATTCTGAGTCTCAGCTCAAGGTAAAATCTTTTCAAGTTACTATAGCCGGGCCACAATCACCCTAAGGTTATCTTATAGTTTGGTCTACTGAACTGTACTTCTGGAATTTCCTGAATACAATGCATTCTTCAGATACTACATATTTAAATAGTTGAAACTGCTGTCAGTCTTATTTTGTTATCTCAAGCAGTAATTTTAAAAGTGCACTGCAAAAATCTATAGCTTTTTTCCTTCTACCTGCGTTCATCCCTCCCCCACCCCAAATACATACACCCTTCTTTCAGTGGCTGTCTT